AGACTGTCCTTCTTTCGTCTCCTGCGAGAAAATGTCTTTCTGTCGGGAGCCAGGTTTGCAGAGATTCTGGGAGCGTTTTCAACAAGAAATCAGGAATACCTGCAAGCGTGAAAACGAAACTATTCTGCGAGACGTCCTCGGGTTTTGAACTTGACAACAGAACATCAAAAACGGAGCAAGTCTATGAAACTTGGTCAATGTTTGAACTTGACAACGTCAAAAACGAAATAATTCTGCGGGAGTTCTTTATTTTTTGAACTTGACAACCTCCAAAACGAAGCAAGTGTGCGAGACTTCTTCAATTTTGACTTAACAACACCAAAAACGAAGCAATTCGGCGAGACGTCCTGCAAAGACGGAAAGGTGAGTGCAGCGCTGACGGCCTCGTACCAATGCGTGTTGCGATTTTTCCACTCCACCTGTCTAAAGCATTGCGCCTGCCAGGAAAAAGTGATGCCAGGTCATACGAAGTGCTGCACCTGTCACGCAAAATCATCTTAGCAAACCTACAGATCCGGTGCTCCAAAATGCAACCCCTCTCAGGAAATCAGCACCCTGACCTCCTAACATCTCTGATGAACATGTCTTTTGTACTGCGATGTACTGCGCCTGCCACGCGATATGCATCTTTGCAGATCCTCTTCAAATGTCCCACGCCTGCCATCGTTTGTGGAAATGCGACAGAATCCTCACGTTCGCTCACTTTTGACAAGGTGCACAATCCCTTGCGCCTGCCACGCGAAACGAGTCCGAACCCCTGGTGCTTTGTACATTTTGACTTCGAAATGTGCTTCGCGCCACAACGGCCTGCACTTTTTCGACATCTCAACTTCCAAAACTGGTCCGGAGCGGGTGTGCTTTGTACATTTTGACTTTGACATGTGCTTCGCGCCACAATGGCGTGCACTTTTTCTACATCTCAACTTCCAAAAGTGCCCCGAACGTGAGGTGCTGTAGCTTTTTCACTTGCAAATGTGCTTCGCCCCACGACGGCGTGCACTTTTTCATCTCTCATCTGGCCAGATGGCTCCGCACCCGCCGCTTTAGCGAGCCTACTTTTCGACCCTCCGGAGCCATAAATCATTGGAAAAACAGAGTGTTTCGCGACTTTCCTACCTTTTCGCGCACCATGATCTTCTTTCTTCTGAGACTTTCTCTTCTCTGATCTTCTCTCTTCTACTCTTCTCTTCTCTGACTCTGCCCATCTCTGCTTTTCATCTGTCCATATTGTCGGAAGTTTGACTTCTAAACTTCCTCCGATTATCATCATATACATACGTCCTGATCAGAAGAAGAACAACATATTTTTGTGATACATAACAGTTTGAAAACAGTTTGGAAGGACGGTTGTTGTGGTTCATTCCGTTTAAAACAAGTTCTGAGGAAAAGCAAAGGTAGAACGGTGTTTATAAAACCCAATACATCATAGTACATCTACCAAACATGGTGGGATGGCTTGATCTTCATCAGTATTCATCAGTATTGTCTAGTATTATACTATGAGCCCAAATCCCCCTAGCCTGCACTTGCAACATCGGTGAAAATGCTGGAGGTGACCCCCAAAAAGCACAAAACCTGTGGGAATCCAATCCATCACACGGCCGGCACCAAGAAACATAGCTGGTGCCCATGAAGACTTGCGAGACTATGGCCACTGGCAACCATGGACTCATCATCCCAAGGTTCCAAATGATCCAAGTCAGTATGATGAAGCTAAGGTTGTAGGGTTTACTGAAGAAGTAGTGCAAGCGTCGCTTGCAAGTGCCCAGATCATCTGGATCATAGTCTGTGTTGAAGAAAACAGGGATCACCTGCATTGAAATCGCGGCCATGACGTCGCCAGCTGTCTGGGCCATACTGGCAAGACTTGCCTCAGTGCTAGCCCTAAAAATTCACTAACCCCGCTGTTTTATTTGAGGTACCGAAGTACCATTTTAGTAGCAAATCATCACTTTTTTGCTACCCCCCTAATGGATCACTTAATCAACCAGGGTTTTTTCCGGTGACATAGTCACTGCTGTCCAGCGGCGTCGGTCCAATTGTGGACCTGCTTGAAGTAGATGGCAAACGTGGCAAACTCGATGACGTAGGAGCCCGTGTTGAGAAAGCAATTCAGCACGATCAAGAAGGCCGGTAATCTGAGGGTTTCAAGTTTCCATGCAAAAAATATCTGTACTAGGTGCGTTTTGATGAGGTGTCCCGCTGGTAAAAGAAAACGTAACAAAAACGACGATGATATCAAACTTGCCTTTTCAATTGACTTCTTACAAGGGTGGTGATGGTGGTGACAGTGCTGCTGGTGCTGCTGCTGTTGATCACGATGATGAAGCCTTCATTATTGCGGCAGTCGCCTGGTTTAGGATTGATGACCTTTGCTAATTCTTTCTAGCACCGGTGGGGTCACACAGTGGTCGTCTTTTCTTACCGGGCTTTCATTCACAAACTGCTGACAGTCTTACACCGGAAATGAGCCAGCAGTACACTGAAAAGAAAGATAAAC